CTCAGGCCCGCAGGAACAGCCTTGGCATCAGAGGAAGCCTGGTTTGGTCCTGCCTCAGGGCCTCTGCACTTGCTGTCACGTCTTCCTGGAATGCTCTTCCCCAGACCTACTCATGTCTTGCTGCTTTTTGTCATTCAGGACTGAGCGCAGACCTTACCCCTTCACAGAAGTCTTCCCTTGCCACCCAAGTTAGAGTAGCCCTCCCATCTCCCAGCCTAGGCACTCTCTGGTCATTACCTCCATGGAGATTTCTGGCCTGGGCTCCTGACACCTAGAGGCCCATGGGGGAGCTAACATGGCACCTCAGCTATTTTCAGTGTTTCCAAAAACTTGGCAGAGACAGGGCTTGACTAACCACCTAACTCATTCGAGTGCCTGGCTCAGCATTGCCTCAGTGTTCTGTGTACCCTGTAAGTATCTCCAGAAAAGAGTCGTGGTCAAATATGTAAAGAAAACAGTTAAGGAAGATCTTTAAAGGCAGACTTTCAAAGCCCTCCATGTGCTAATTTGCATCGGTGGAGCAGCGATGGGGACAGACTCCACCATAGCCTAAGCACGTTTGCCGGCACTGCAGTTTTTAGCCCAGAGTGACTGTTCTCTGTGGAGCCACAGCCTCTGGACTGCTTGCTCCATTCAAGGCTTTTCTTTTCTTTGGAATCAAGTTAGGGAAAAATGGGTAGCTTTGTCATCAGAAGTTCTGGCAGACAGTTATAGAAGCCACTGATGAAGGAAGATTGGAGAGACAAAGTATAGTAAATACAATTTAGTAGACAAAACCTAAACGTGGGCATCATTAAGAGACATTAAAGCATTCTTAGGTGGGGAGAACTGGGTCTGTGTCCTGTTTGAGCAGTGAGGTGCCCTGGAACGCCCCTTTCTCCTTCAAAGCCCCCTTTGCCTCTCATCAGGGCCAGGCCCTTGCTGACTGCGGGGAACTCTCCAGGCAATCCCCATGTGTGGTGCCAAGGATGAAGTGGCCCTGGATCAGGTGTCCTGGCCCTCCCTAGTGAGCTTGCTTTCATACTGTGTGCTCCTTCTTAACCTGTAAAGTAAGGATCAGAGCCTGCACCTTGCTCATCTGTCTGGCCTGAGAATCTGTGAGTGACAGATGTTTGCAGGCTTGGGAAGATGTAGCATGCTGTGTGGCATTGTATGGCCTGTGGGGCTGAGGGAAGCTTTCCTAGGAGCTGTCCTTGCCAGTCAAGAGGCTCCTGCTAACCTAACAGCTCAGAGTGTAGTGCGTGATCCCGCAGCACCAGCATCACCACAGAGCTTGTTGGAATTGTGGAATCGTGGCCTCATCTCAGTCCCACTGAATCAGAATCGCCATATGAACAAGACCCTGGTGATTCACAGGCATGTGAAAGTCTGGGAATCGCTGGCTCCACTCTCCTGCTCGAAACCTTCTGTGGCTTCCCACTGCCTTCTGGATAAGTCCGACCTTCTTAGGCTGGCACAGCAGGCATTTTGCAGCTGGCCCCAAGCTGACCTCCTCCCATTTCCACCTCCACAGCTGCAGCCACAGGCAGCTGGGGGTCTCCCATGACACCTTTGCCTCAGCCAACTCTCACCCCTTCAATGCCCATCCCCTCTTCTCACCCCGCCAGGGGTCCACCTTCCCCTTAAGGTCCAACTGATAGTCCCGAATCTCTGAAGCCTGCCCCAGCTCCCCCAGAAGTACATGGCTCCAAGGGCTTGGTGTGTCCTTCTAGGTTCCTCTTGTCACATGTTCCTGACCATAGCAACTTGGGGGACAAATGGTATGCTGCTTATTCCTATCTGACCAGACATTGGCAAGGGAAAGTACCCGTAAGAACTGGAGTGTCAGGAGTTGGGCGGAAGGAAAGACGGCAGGCTGTGGCTCCAGGGTGTCCTGGCTCTGAGAGAGGAGGGCTAACCAGACAGCATCGGAGGCCTGCCGAGGGTGCGCCCATCTCCAGGAACAGCACATACTTGTCACTTGCACACCTGAGTGACCTCACACACTCCTTACTGCATTTTTTCCCTTCAGCTTCATAATCCCCATACCCCTAGGTGTTGCTGTCAACCAATCAGGGTGACATGAGAGGGAACCTCTGCCATTTCTTGTCTGGATTAGTCACAGTACCAAGTAGACCCCAAACCAGGAACACATGAGAGAGCCCAGTGGTGGTCTGAGCAGAGTAGGGGTTGCGATCAAACTTGAGGCAGGGGGTGGGGGGTGCTCTAAGAAGGAAGAGTCCATTTGGGCGCAGCAGAAGGGATGAGTTTGTACTGGCACTCTGTTTGCTTTGTCCAACAGACACCTCTCCACCCCACCTCTCACACCCAAGAGGCTGGTTTGTCATTCGCTCCTCCCCCCAGAGATGGCCAGTACATTCTTCTCTTTTCTCTTCCTGGATTTAGCAAAGGTGCCTCCTGAAGAATAGACCTCAGTCAGCATTTGCTGGAGGGATGAAGGTACTGCACTACGCTGGGGATTCACCTCCCACTCTGGTCATCGCCCCCACTGCCACACTCTTAAACCCCGCAAGCAGATGACTCAAGAAACTTCCAGCCACACACAGGGACCTCTCCCTCTCCAGCGCCCCCAGACAGAGGAGCAAAGGAGACCCACGTACACGTAGCCGATGATATCAGCATCTGGCTGCTGGTAGAATGCTTTGTCAGCAATCCTTGAGGGAAAGGGGTTAGGTGGGGGAAAACAGGATGACAAGACAGACAGACAGACAGGAAGAGGTTAAAGAGAAAGAGAGACAGCGTTAGTACCTCCAGTTGGAGAGGTGTTAGGAAGCACAGTTCCAGACGGCTCAGCAACAAATGATCCAGAGCCCAGAGTGGGGATCCTCCACCACCCACCTGAGTGCCTTTTCTAAAACATTTCTCCTCCTGTTCACAAACTTTCAGTGGCTCCCCACCACCCCTGTCTGCCCAACCCTGTCATTCAAGGCCCTAAACAGGTGATCTCTCTCTCGCCACTCCCTGACTCCCTGTTGCCCAAGACACAATGTCCTTTCATATCATTCTGTTCCCTGGTCTAGATTTCCCTTCCCCCTCCCTCTTTCTCCTAATAAACCCCTAATCATCCTCCAAAGCCCAGTCCCCCAGTCACACAAGTCCCTTCCACAGCCTCCCTGCAGAGGGCCCTACTGTTGAGTTCAGCTGGACAGGAATGTTTCTCTCCTCTGAGTTCTTTGAGGATACAGACTGGGTCCTTCTCATCTCTGTCTTCTGGTACCCAGCCTAGAGTCTGGCATGCAGCAGCTTTTTGAATAGAAGTGTGGTGGCTTTCTAGAGCTGAACTTTTCCTTCCTGGCAGGCCTGGTACCTTGAAGAGCATAGTCTCAAAGGCAGGACTCCTGTGTAGCATCTCAGAAATACTCTGAGACCATTTCCATGAAGGTGTTTTTTGGTGGCATCTGCTGTTTTTGACTGCCCAGCATTCATCCCCCTTCTTCCAGGATACCCTGATTGTCCTTTGCAAGATCAGGCTGCCCCGACTTCAGTCCCTGTGGTTTGGATGGGACTGACCCTATGCACAACCCAGATAATGGGACTATGGCCCAGGATGGGTCCATCGGAGAGTCCCCCCACCCCTGGGACAGTCACTGGTCCTAACCCATGCCCGACCAATGAGGGTCAGGTCAAGGACTTATGCTAGAGCTATTGGGAGCAAAGGTTATTTTATTTTCAAGAGAATAGAGCAGAACCCTGGAGCTGCTGGTGGCCACCTCCACCCCCATCCTAGGGGCGTGCACCCAAGAATGAAGGCACCATAGAGGAAAGAAGAGCTGAGATACAGTAAAAGTGGGTGCCAACTGACTTTGTTTCAGCCCCTGAGCCCACTATGCCTGCCATCCTACCCCTGGCTTTTCAGTTATAATTATATAGGCTACTAATTTCCTTTAATGCTGTAGCAACTCTGGGTCAGAGCGCTGTTATTTCTACAAGCAACAGAATCCAGTACCCAGTACCCTTCACTCTGAGCCAGGCTTGTGCACTCTGTGACACTAACCATGGCTACAGAGGGCCCAGGCCTAGCTGTTGCCCACTGGGCCCCAGTACAGTCTGGCTCACATCCCGGGGTCCTTGTTTTTCTCTGTTGTGGTGACAAGGTGAAGTGCACCAGCTCTTTGGAGCTCAGGGCTCTGATCTCCACAGGCAACCAAGAGGAGCAGCCCTGGGCGTTTCAGCTTCTCCTTCATGTTCTTTCTACCAAATCACCCGTTTTCAAGACAACACCATATACCATAGCTCCTCTCACTATTCCCATAGCCTCCTCCTGTCTCCACAACCCCCCTGGTGTCCCCATAGCTCCTCTCACCGGTTGTTGATCTTGTTCTTTTCAACTTGTTCACTCTGGCGCTGGTTCCACTCCTCCAGGTCCTTCTTGGCCTTCTCCCGCCACTCCTGTTCTGTCACCTTGGAGGCAGCATCTGTGACCCCCACAGAAGAATGAATGGCAGCTTTCCAGTAAGGACTGGAGGTCCGACCTGGCTGCTGCTCCTCCCCCTCAGGCCCCATCCCCACACAATTCCCAAGTTAAGGCAGTGGGGGACCCATATGCCCTGAGGCTTCCCCACCCCCCACCATGTCCCAAACAGCCAACCCAGCTGGGAGCCCGGGACACGAAGGACCCCAGCCTCAGCCCTGTCCTCACCCAGCTCCTGCAGCCGTTTCCTCTGCTCCTCTCTCCATTTGCGGATGCTCTCGGGTTCCTGCGTCAGCCGGTCGGCCTGTGCAATGGCAGCATAGCCGTCAGCTGGGCCATTAGCTTCCTAAGACACAAATACATAGCCATGCATCAGCCCATCTACCTGCTCCCTGTCTCCGCCAAGGACCAGAACACCTCACATTTCAAACAACCTCACTCCCACTCTCTCTTTTGTACTTGCTGCCACAGCAACCCTTCCCGCTGTGTGACCCTGGGCGAGTTCCTCAACTTTCTGTGCCTCACTACCCTCCTCATAAAGTGGGCTAAATAAGAGTACCCACTCCTTAGGGTTGATAATAAGGATGAAATGAGTTTTAAAAAATGTAAAGAACTTCTAACGCTTCTTGGCACACAGTGAGTCCGTTGTGTTACTATCATTAAAGTCACTCTATTACAGTTTTATTTACCCAGTAACACACAGTTAAAAATTATCTCACTTTATAGTATGTTTATTTGTCCATTGTCTGTCCCCTCCATTAGAATCTCATTTTTGTGATGATGGGGACTTTGTCTGTCCTGTTCACTGCTGTGTCCTCAGCGCCCAGCACAGTGCCTGGCACGTAGCAGATACTCAATAAATATTCGCTGAGTGAACAAGCAGCCCTGAGATAGGCAGGAAGGCTGTGGCTAGGATTGTAGTAAAGAACTTGGACTTCTTAGCCAGAGTGTCTGAGTTCAAACCCCACCTCTACCACTTACTGGATATGCATATAGCCCATGCAAGTTGCTTAACCCTACTGGGCCTCAGTTTTCTCATCTGAAATGGAATAATAATAAAACAACTTCTAAGAGCTGTTGTGAGACTTTGGTGCAACCATATTAACAAGACACTTAAAAAGTGCCTGGTGTGGAATGACAGTTCAATGATAGTAGCTAGAATTCTTATTATTCATTCCCATTTTATAGTGAGGAAACTGAGGCCAAGATAGATGGCATGATGTAGTGCAGAGCCAGAGCCAGAGTCCAGGCCTCTTGACTCCCAGCATGGGCTCTGGCCACTTCTCCACACCACCTGCCAGAGCCAGGGACTCTAGTGTTAGGGTTGAGAGTTCAGGCCAGTAAGGATGTGGCTTCCCTTTGGTCTCGCTAAGCCAGAGACCTTCTACATGGGATCCAGCCCCATTTCCCACCCCTCTGGTGCTCTGCACGCACTCCACACTCCTGTGTGCACACATCCCACACGATTCTGCGGCCTGCCTTCGCTCTCAGCCTACAATTGTCTCCCCTCCCTTCTCCAGCTGATGAAATCTTATTCCATCCTACGAGCTTCCAGCTCAAAAGTCACCAGCTCTGGGATAGTTCCCAATCCTAAGCAGATTTCGCAGCCCTTCCCCTCTGTGCTCTGTCACAGCCTTCACCTTCTACTAAGCATCTCCTGCTGGACCCCAAGCTCCCAGTAGACAGGCCAGGATCTCGCTTATAGCCTCCAAATTCCTGTTCCTTCCTTTCATTGTTCTGTGTGCTCCTCCTTCAAGAGCTCATCAAAACTGCCATGAATCCTGGTGTTAATGTTTCTCCCCACACAGTTGCGTCTGACATGCCCTCTGTCCAGCATACCCACCACTGTCCTGGGCACTCAGTAAGCAGTGTCTGCATGGATGGAGGTCAGAAAGTGTTTGGCCAACGGGTGTGGGCAGCCAGAAAGAAGGAGTACACAGCATCTCTGGCTGTCTGGGGACAGGGCAGGGCAGGCCCAGGGCAGGGTGGTGCAGCTTGGCATCCAGATCTAGGCCCACCCTTGGGTGGGGCAGTTGAGCAGAGCTTATTTCCCTTTCCCACACAGCACTACTCTTGAGTTTAGAAAGTCTCACGACATCTGAGGGGCCTTTCCAGGGCTTGAATCTGGAGAACACAAATTGAGCACTGCTGTTGAGTAAGCCCTACTCAGTCCACTTCAGGAAATAACCCAGCCCTGAGGCCCAGCTGTCAGAACCCCTGCCCAATCCTATACAAGTCCTGTCTGCAGACAACTACAGTTACTTTTGTGTGTATGTGTTTACCCAGCTGCCATTTTATCTTCTTCATGGGAACAGGGAAGGCCTGGCTATAGGAGGAGTTCAGGAACATTTATTGAATGAATTAACATGTTCAGGCTTGGGGACAGGGATGAACCAGACAGGCCATCAGCCGGGAGCTTGGCAGGGGGAGTCCCTCACAAATGAGGACCATGGCTGGGGGATGTGTTGTGACACGGGTCAGGTAAAGAGAGGGGACAAGTGAGGGTACACCCATTCTAGACTGGGGAGCAGAGTAAGACAGGAGAAGATGGGGAAGAGCATTTCGGGCCAAGAGCCAGTAGCATAAGGGCCATGTGGGGCTGGTGCCTTTGGGAAACTCTGAATACCGAGATGCCATTGGGTGTGGAGGACACAAGGTAGGAGAGGTGGGCAAGGAAAGTCCTCTGGGCAGGAGTCGTATCCTGTGCATCCTTTAGGGCCCACCATCTCCACAAAGCTTGCCCTAAAATGAAGACGCCCAGTTTATAAAGCTTTAGAACTTGCAGGGAACTTGCAATTAAATGGTTCTCTTTGATCTTTACAACCCTACATGATGGGTTTTATTATCTTTGTTTTATTGGTTGGGAAAGTCTAACACCAAAGTCCCAAGGTCACCCAGCCAGGAACTGGCAGAGCCAGGATTCTAACTGAATTTCTGGCTGTGAACATACTGGCTACATAGTAGCCAATGGGGACCAAAGTCACTTCTGTTTCGATTTGTGCGCCTACTCTTTGCCTCCATGATAAGTCTGCCTTCCTGGGAGTAGAGCCTCTGCCCCTTCCTCCCACTGCCCTACCCATACCGCATCCCCCATCTCTCCCTCTCACCCATACACATGCCCCCGGGCTCACTCAGTGGCTAGATCAGGAATTTATAAGAAGTTTCTCAGGCTGCAGAGTGCTTTTCTCCACAGACCTGTGGGGGCAGCAGGATAGGGCCTCTAATCCCCATTCTACGAATGAGATATACAGCTCAGGACAAAGACTGGACCAAGTTCCTCCAACAAGGAAAAGCTAGACATGAAGCCCAGGCTGTCTGATTCCATCCAGACTCTTCTGCTGGTTCCTGCCCCAGTCTGGGTAGGGGAGCATCCTTGAGGGGCCGTTGGAATCCCTGGAGCAGCTGCACATCCAGAGGCACCGCTCAGTGTGTTCCTAGCACATTGTGCCCGGAGGTGGCCATGCCCCAGGCCTCAGGCCCTGGTTGAGCTGGGTCCACCTCCTCCACCACTTTCCGCCGGTGTCCAGGCCCACTAACGTGTGCTGGCTGGGAGCTGTGTCAGCTGGGATCTACTATCTTACCCTCTGTGCCTTCGCACATGCTGTCTCCTCAGGCCGGACCACCCAAATCCCCTTGGGCAGTCTCAAAACCACTTCCAGCACCCCCTCTCTGTGGCACTCCCTGGCTTTAGTGCAGCACCTGGTGCGTAGGCCTGGTTCAAGTCCCAGCTCCTCTCAGCTGTGTCACCAGAGCAAGTTTAATCCCTCTGTGCATCGTCTTCCTCATCTGTAAAATGGGGACAATGACAGAACCTACAAGGTAGGGGTGTTGGGAGGGTGAAATGAGTTGTTACATGTAAAGCTCTTGGGTGGTGCCTGACACACAGTAAAAACCAGATTCTAAGCTCCTCATACTACCCCAGTCCCTGAGCCCCTGCCATCCTGTACTACCATTCCTTCCTCCCAGGTCTCTGTCCTCTGTTAGAAGGGAGCTCCTTGAGGACAAATACACACTGGATTTGCCTCTATATCCACTGCCCCAGCACCATGTGGCACTCAGGGAACATTAGCTGACTCAATGAAGGAGCGAGTGGCTGCCTACAAAGTGGTGTGGAGGGCGTAGGAACGGCATCAGAGGGACTGAGATTTAAGTCCTTTCCTGCCACTCACAGATGTGGGACCTTTGAGAATCCTTTCCCTGGGCTTCTTGTGCTTCATCGCCTGTTAAATGAGAATTGCAACATCCCACTCAGAGTGTGAAGCAGAGCCCATGTGCAGCAATTGCCATGCAACCCTGTACCAGTAGCAGGTGTGCATACGAGAGGGCTGGCAGGCTATGTGGCTCACTGTTGCCGCATGTCAGCCACACTGCACCACAACCAGGAAACGCAGAGTGATGTTGCCAGCAGACAAAGTCCTGAGAAGCTGTTTGTTGATTCCTCTTCTCCAGCCACTATGGACTTGTTTTCCTGGCCCTGCCTCTGCCGGTGAGCAGTGAGGCGGGGCGTGGGGGCCACAGCAATGCTCCTGTTTAATCACTTGAATGTCTCAGTGAGGAAATTGGGTCAGCTGCCATGAGAGCTGGCAGCCCCAGGAGGACTCACCAAGCGGCTGTAGGAATGTTCTGAACCCCTCCCAAGCTAGAGAGAGAGGGGGTCAGGAATGGCCAGGAGTAAAAGGCAGGAGGCTCCAGTCAGGGACAGGCTTATCTTGCTCCAGCTCCCTGGCATCCCTGTCCTGCAGAACCCCTCTGCTAGATACCACATGAGCACCTGTGTGGGCCATGCTGTCTGAGCCTGTTCTATGACTCCAGACACAGCCAGGAGGATGAGGCACATCCGCTTTGGGGTTGATCAGCTAAAGCTAAGCTAAGCTGAGCTGTTGATTCCTCTAAGTAGCTCAAAGGGGAATGATGGGGGCGGGCAGGGGAAGGGAGAGAATTTGTGCAGGAGGAGGGAGTGCTCAAGGGGCTTCCTACTCCGGCCCCTGGCAGGCTTGTCCTTAAGCCTTGCTGGGGATCAGGTTCCTGGCTGGACCCCTTAGTAGCCCACAGGCCTCCAAAAAAAAAAGTAGCAAAAAAACCTCTGTCCTGAACTCTTGAAAGTGTTGGGCAGGCAAAGCTTCTCTTCTTTCTGCAGCACAAGCCAGACCCTGCTCCATGTTCAATTCTAAAGAAGGTCTGCAGGGGCCTGCCACCTGCCACCAGGCCGCTGTGGCCTGCACATTCCAGCAACAAAGATGTGATACAAAAGGTGTCAGATCAGGGGCAGCAGGTCTGGGTGGACCTGGCTTCTGAGTGACTGGCCTCATCTGTGACCCCTCCTATAAGGTTTCTAGGATGCCCCAGATGTGAAACGATTTACAAATAAATGTACCTGGGGTTGTTACTGGCACCAAGGAGAGTAAGAGTTCCCAGCGAGACTGGGGAGGAGACCTAAGATTCCTCAGATCCGCCACACAAAAGGCCTTGGCCGGAGGGTATGGGAGAAGAAGGCCTTGGATCTTAATCTATAGAAAAGGAAAAATATCCTCCTTATAGTGTTCCAGATACTTCTGCAGTTCCAAGTCCTTCTCCAGCTCTAGGTCCACTTTAAGACACAGACCTTTGAGTGTATCCGGAGGGTAGGGGCAGCCAGGGTCTCAATGACATACCAAACTGAACAGGAGGAAATGCTGAGTCTTTGGAGCTTTCAGGCCCACGGAGACATGAAGTCCTAACGCCCTAGAGGCTGACTTTTCTAGCTTGCAGATAGTTAAGTAATTTTCCAGAAATGGGACTTGGCCCGTTTCCCTGTAGAAGGTACCAGCCCATCTCTCTTACATAAGAAAGTATTGTTTATTCTCACCAGGATTCAGGAGGCCAGCTCCTCCACGGGAGGCAGCTACAGCCCCAGGGGCAAGGATCTTTGATCCAGTCCTGTGAAAATTAAGGCTCATCCAGTGAATGTTTTGTTTCATCCTGGGGATGCCATCTGCTGGCCAAGTCCTCTAAGTCTAAGTACTTTTTAAAAATTATAGTTGACATACAGTATTATATGCATTTTAGGTATACAATGTAGTTATTCAACAGTCAAGAATTTTTGAACCAATTTATGTATATATGAGGGGAGAAGGGTTAGGTGGGTACATAGAGAGGCAGTCTTTAACTAACTAGAAATATCGTTACTAGGTGTTCTAGGGGTGTGTGTGTGTGTGGTATAGGACTACTTTAAAGAATTTTTAAACAATGAAAGTGAAAGCCCTTCTCTTATCCCTTCCCAACCCCCACCTCGGAGCTAACCACTGTTAACAGTCGGTACATATCCTTTTAGATATTTTGTGCAAACATATTTCTAAACCAAAGAGTAGGACCATACTGTGCATATTATCCTGAAAGCTGCTTTTCCACTTAGTATATTGCAGGCAACTTTTCAAGTCAATGCAGAAAGCTCTGGCTGCTCTTTTTAACAGCAGCACAGGTTTCCGGTTTGACAACCCAGGTCCCCAGTGCTGGCCACTTATGTTGTTTTTCAGTTGGTCTGCTATTATACATCCTGCAAAGACTCTAGGTGTCCTTGTCCAGTTATTTCTTTAGGGAAAATTCTGAGAAGTGGAATCTCTGGGTCAAAGGCCTGCCCAGTTAAAATGTTCATATGTTAGAGATGGCCACTAAGTCCAGCCTGGAAGGCCAACACGTGCAGGACCCTGTGTTTCCTTCAGTCCATGCCACTGTGGGCCACTTTATCCCTCTCTCCAGAAGTAGGACATCACCACGGGCAGCCTGAGGCCACAGCTCATCAATCCCTCGGGCACCCCCTTATTTTTCATCGCTTTCTCCTACATGACCAAAAAAAAGTCAAAACGTCTATGTTCCCATCCCAATGCATCAGGCACAATGAACAGAAGACTGGAAGCCCTAATCCTACTGATGATGGGGCAATAAGTTCCTGTGATCTCAGTGTCCGTCCCCACCACTGCTAAGGCAGAATCTTGCTTACCTGAAACACATCTCCATTGATCGTGGTCCCCATGTCCTCAGGACCAGCTAGAAAAAGAACAAGGAGACAGCATTACTCATTGCTAGGCTTATAGCAAGCCTGGAACGGTCCTACATTAGCACCTGAAGCCAACCCCTGTATATGCCTATGTGCGTACTGACCCACCCCCAACACATACTGGATACATGAGTGACTTGGCTCAGTCCTTGATTGTTCACCATGCCTTCTCACAGCTTTTATCACATTTGATTTTCACTACAGCCTTATGATGGAGTTATTATCAACCTATTTTACAGATTCTCAAACTGAGGCACAGAGTCTACGTGATCGCTCAAGGTCATCAGTCAGTAATAACTCCTCACCTACCTGAAATGGATTTACTCTCTGCTACAGCTGGGAATGGCCCAAGTGTCTGTAGAGCCTGTGCCTGGTGAGCAGGCTGAGGCGCTGTGGGCTCCGGGCGGGGTCTGTGAGGTCTAAGGAAGAGAGACCTGCGCGTCTCTGCCTGTCCCTGCAGTGCCTTGAGCAACTGCTCCACCTGGGAGAGCAGGAACTGCAGCCCCCAGCTGGCAGCACCTGGCCTGTTTTTCTCTCCTTCCGCCCCTCCCAGAAGGATTTCATTTTGCTCTCAACAGGACTCCTCCTGGTCCTTGACACCTGATTAGTCACAAATCCTTGTAGTTTCTGCTGCAACAATGACCCTCAAAGTTGCCCTCTGCTTTCTGGTCCCTGCCCGGCCCCAGCCCCAGCTCTCACCCATACAGCTGCCTTGGTCTGTCTGCCTTGCTAGTGGCAAACACCTGGAGGAACCCACCTGTGTCCTTTCTCCTCACCACTGTCCTTCCCAGAACCCCGCATAGTACCTGTCACTTAGTAAGAGTCAAAAACCATTTGTTGAATAAACAAATGAATAAATACATTAAAGAAAGAGCGACTGGTTTTTGTCCACCCACAGGCCTCCCTGATTGCAGCTTCACTCTCTCCCAACCCTCTTTCAAACCAACTCCAGGGCTAACATTTTGTAAAGCATACACTTACCGATGTCACTCCTCTGATTAAAAATATAATAAAAGCAAACTAAAAAGAAATCTACTTTCTGTGGACCATAGAGGCCATTAGGGTCTGCTCCTGCCTCGGAGACTCAGCAGGTGCTGTTCACTCTGCCTGGAAGGCCCCCCACCCCACCCCACCCCACCCCTGCCATCTCCACATGGGCTGCTTCCTTCAGCCTCTGCTCAAACATTGCCTTACGATCAGCCTTTCCTGATCACCCCAACATTCACCCCTCGGGCACTCCCTCCTCCCTGGCAGTATTTTCTCTATAGCATGTACCACAGCCTGATATGTTTATTTGGTTATGTATTTATCTGTCTTCCCCAGTTGAATGGACTCCTGCATGAGGACAGGGACTTTGTTTTGTCCACTGCTGGGGCCCAGCACCTGTGCCTGGTACATAACAGTGGCCCAATAAATATTTGTCAAATGAGCACATCAAATGTTGGACTACAGACTCGAGAATCTTTATAACCTGGCCCTACCCATTTTTCCTTCCTCACTGTCCACTGGTCCCTTCCATAAACCCTGTTCTGGTTTCTTCCTTCTACAAACACACCACTCCAAACTCCATGCTTTTCTTCCAACTTCCTTCTCTAAAGAGTGCTCTTTTGGATCCAGTCATTCTCCAAGGCCCAGTTCACAAGTCACCTCCTCTGGGAAGCCCTCCGTTATTGCTCCTGTTTCCTTAGGCACTGATGAAAAGTGTTACCTCTGGTGTATTTCCAGAATACTATACAGCATCCCCGACCCTCTTATGCAATTACTTGTGACCTCCCAGGAGTCATGTACTTTCTTATCAGGCTAAGGAATCTATTCAGCTCCTGAGGGCTCCTGCACAGAATGGATGAGTGCAGTAAATGTGGGCTAAATGCAAGTCGAATTGCTCTTTTGGGGCTCACTGTTAACTGCAAAGCCTGTCTGAGGCCTCTCAGAAACTGCAGTACCTTCTAGCAAAAAGCCACATGAGGCTACACAAGATGACCACAGAGAGACAAGTATCTCTTTACCAGCCAGACAGAGCTGTGAGCAGCAGCGACAGTGTTTTCAGTCTGGAGATTGAAGGGAGAGACATTTAATCCATGGAAATAATATCAAGTCGGTATAAATTATAATTGACTCTGTTTTCAGAGTCAGTGATTCTGACCAGCTATGTCAACAGTCATTCCTTCTTCAGAGAGGGCTTGCCTAGGTGGCCTGGGGCCCTAAATCAGATGTGCTCCACCAAGGCCTTACATTACCAGAGTCCATTCATAAGATGCTGGTCTGTGCACTTGACCTCTCTGGATCGGAAGTTGTACCACCCCACTCCACCCTGACCAGCCCTAGGCTCAGGCTCATGCTGGCCTCAGAAAGTCTCTTGGCCCCAGTTTGTCAGTCCCATGAGCGTTCCTCTGGAGATAAAGTTTCAGCCTCTTTGAGAACCCACACACACCCACTTACAGGATTACAAGTATCTGTTCCCACAGTAATTTCTGATCCATCCATTGCACGTTTGTAATCACACGTTTGCAGTCAGAGGCTAGCAGAACAGGAGCGCAGCAGATACAAGTCCCAGGCATAACCCCTGTATGTTGCTTCCTTCAGATTCCTGACCCCTTTTGAACAGGGCAGACAGGGTCCAGAACATTCCTGGGAGCTTACTGGGGCCCAGCTGGGAAAACAGGCTTGCCAGGAACTGACTAGGCAAGACAGGGGCAGTGCCCGGCTGAGTGCTCAGCAATTTGGGTGTGAAAAAGTAAACCTTCTGGGTCCTACCCAAGGTGATGAATGGAAACAGTGTCCATTGTTCAGGCTGGCCCCAGCCCCAGCCCCAGAGGAGAGACTCAGTGTGGCTCAGGCTCAGGCCTGCACCAGATACCTCTTTCCCCAGGGACACTTGGGGCCCAATGTCAGGGCACTCAGCACAAGGGCATCGTCTAAGAGACAAGACTCAGATGTACAGACTGGTGGCAGTGGCAGAAGCCAGCTTCCGCCCAGCACCCAGCAGGCCGAGGCACATGTTCCCCATCCATCCCAGCTTCTGGCACTGAGCGCCGCTGGAGGGCAATGCTTGCTCAGCACTACCTAGGCCTGGGAGGGAGGATCAATGCCTTTCTGCCTGGCCACCAGTTGAGTCACCATTCCAGACCCCCTGACCCACTCAGGGGGTCAGCCAAACATTTGCAGCTGCAGCTGGTATGAATCCAAGAGACGCTCAGAGGGCTACGTCCCTGCTTCTCTCCCTGCCACCTCCGGCATGTGGCCAATCCGTGCCCCACCCCTGCCAGAGAGGGAACCTCCATCCAGGCTGTGAACCCCTGGAGTCGCAGTGTCCTGAGAGAGGCCACAACCTGCTCAAGTCCCAGCCACCTCTGGCTGCCCTCAGCCTGACTTCTACTTGCTTCTCTCTCAGGGGGCTGTGACATCGGCTCTTTTGAGCCGGGCATCCCCCAGGCCAAGCCAGGCTGGGGAAGCTGGTGGTCTCAAGGAGGAGGTGTGGACAAATGAATACTGGTGAGGGAACATGGGAAGGCATCTCCTGGAATGTGTGAGGGTCTATGCTGAGTTGCTAGGAGCTGCTGCTTCAGACCTCTACTGCTGGCTTGGTTGGGTCACAAAAGACTCTCCCCTCAACTTATCACATCCCAGGAGACTGCCACAGACCAAGTCCCAGGTCTGTCACTCGCGGCTGTGTGACTTTGGGCAAGATACTCAAGCTCTCTGGGCCTCCAGGTTCTTACATGTTACAAAAGGCTTGTTATATTTCTCATAGCAAGGGGCTTACAGAGACATTTCAAGCCTCCCAGAAACTGCCTTATTCGTGTCTGCATCTCCAGTGGGCCTGGCAAACAGTATGTGCTCACTACATTGAATGAATCAAACAGTATGTGCTCACTAAACATTGAATGAATCAAACATGACTATAACGAACCTCATTTATAAATGCTTTAAAAAGATTTGTAAGCTACAACTTATTCCAACAGGCCCATAAATCCTCACCAAAATAACGTTTACAGGAAACAAGGGCTGTTTTGGATGCACCCACGAAAGTGATATCTACTTTGCTACTAAATATTTTAAGAAATTTTTCTTTCATGCCAGAACAGGGACACCATTTATAAATGTGCTGTCACAAAGACGAGGCTCAGAAACCTGAGTACGAAGCTAACCATACAGCACCAGACCACCTTTGGAAAACTGGGGAGGGCAGGACCATACCTGACTAAAGCCCTTTGTACCCGACCCCCACCCTAGTGTCTAACTCAGAGCCAGGCACATAGAAGACAGTCTGATTAGGTGAAAAGGGTTTACCGTCTGACAGAAACAGGTCTAAATCGTCTTAGCTGTGCCACTTACTAGTTGTTTTAATACTGTGCTTTTTGAGCCTCTATTTTGCTGTCTCTGAGATGGGTTGAATAACACGTGTAACGTTATTAAATGTAAGTAAAGTGTCTAGCTCAGTGACTGCAGGATGGCAGGTAGTCCCCAGGGAAGGTTTGTGAGTTCTTGGAGCACCCAGTGCCTTCTGCTTTCCTAGCTGTAGGAGGGGGCTAAGTCTGAAGGGCAGAGAGATCTGCTGTTCTGCCCACACCTTCAGGGCTTAGCTGTGAGAGGAGACAGCCAGATCACCCGGAGGCTCAGGGGAGACACTCAGGGCTGGGCTGTGCTGGATTCCACAGACTGGCAGTGGTGGAGCTGGCCTGGGGATGAAATACCATGACGAATTTTTGTCCCCGGAGCCACCAGATCCACAGCTCCCGGCGGAGCCTCAGATGAGGATCTCCAAGAAGAACCCCCCTCCCCCCAACACACACACTTTCCCAGTCCTCCCCACATACACACACAGCCCCAGGCCTGCTTCTGGCTGGTGGGGAGCAGGCCCTTTTCATTCTACCGCGGGGCTTGGAGGCCCAGTCTGCACTGGCCCGGTACCCCGGTGCGAGCCCTAGACCCCCCAGTTCCCAGACCGCTGCGCTGACTCACCCCCACTCGCGGGTCCAGGCTGCGCGAGGGCCGCCTGGCCGCCGGCAGGTGCCCCGAAGCCCTCGTCATTCTCTATGCCCGCGATCTCACTCTCCTGCTGGGCCAGGAAGGCAGCCGCCGGGTCCTCCTCGGCAGCCTCGGGGGCCCCGCTCTCCGACGACGAGAAGAAGCCAAAGTCATCAGCCATTTTCCCCGCGTGTCTCCCGGAGCGTCCGCCTGGCGCTCGGCTCTGACCGGCGCGTGCTCCGCACTGCGCCCGGCGGTCGCGACACTGTCACCGGAGTGCCCAGGGAGCCGACCTCGGCGGGGACTGGCTCGGCGCAGCGGGCCCGCACTTCCTCTTCGCCACCGGGCCCGGCTCGCCTGTCACTGCGGTGCGGGCGGGAGGAGCTGGGACGGGAATGCGGTGATGTCACCGGCCGAGGGAGTGGGCCCGCAGGACGGCCGGAGGTCGCCTCGCAGCGGCCACAGGAGGGCGGCAGCAAGACGGCGGCGAAGCCCGAGGGACCCGGAGGCCGGGACAGCGCTCCCACTCCCTGCCAGAGCGCTCATTTCCAGGACACCAGGACTCCACACAGTTCCGACCCATCTAGAGGCGAAGCAGACTGGACAAAGGGGCCATAGCCTGCCTGCACAGGGCCACCGCGGAAGGACAGCCCGGGCCTTGGGAGCACCGAGGGGTTGGTCGCCGCGCAGACTGTGCTCCTGATCCACTCTGCAAAGTTTCTTCACCTAAACTGAGCAGATATTATGAATCTAATTATTATGACTGTTCTCCTCTTTACAGAGGAGGAACTGAGGCTAGGAGAGGTGACACTAAGTCTCACCACTTCATTGCATCTTTCCTGCAAGTCCAGAGCCTTTCCCACCAGGCAGCATTGCTTCAGTGTATTTCTTATAAATTTCTCATTTAGGGTAGCTTCCGCTCAGACCACAGGAGTTTGTAGGACCTGACCGCACGCCTACTTACAGGCTGGGCTCTTTAAACGTCGTTAAGTATGAACTGGCCTGAGAAAGGCAGAAACTTTATTCAGGCAGCCTGCCACTCCACCCAGTGGCCCTCAGAAAGACAGTTGGAATGCCTCCTTCCTGCTGGCTCTGCGCCGAGCACTGAGGCAATAAAATATAGTAAAATCCAGCCTTGGCCAAGGGGAGGTTGCACTCCATGGGTTCAACAGATGGCAAATAGCCAGTCACAGCCCATGTGCAAGGTGCTCTGAGATTTAGACACAGGGCACTGGGAAATCCAGAGGACTGCCATCGGATTTGGGATTGGGGATTTTCTCTTTTTGATCTGAGACTTGAAGATCAAAGAGGAACTGGGAGAAAGAAAGGAAAGATACACCCACAGCTTTGGGTAGCGGTTCCCTTAGTGGGTGGGAGGTGGAAGTAGAGTTGGGGCGAAGGCTTATTTCAGTTATGCTCAGTAATACCTCGATGTAGTTTTCACTCTTGTGATGAGAATATTATTAGTAGTGTAAACAAGAAAGAAAGAAATTTCAGGCCCTGCTCAGCCTGGTCCAAGCACACCATCCCACCATCATCTCACACTTCTTTCTCGTTTCCCAACCACAGGCTGGGGTGCTGAAAAGACCTGGAACGTTTGCTAGTTAACAAACTGGCCATAAATGTCAACTCCAGGTTTTGTGGAGCCAGGACTAGTGAACATGCTATGCGCCCATTGTCACCTCCACGGGGTGTTCTGTTTTGATCTCCTTTTCAAACTGTTTATTGTTAGTGTAAAGAAATGCAACTTAAATTTACGTATTGGCTTTGTATCCTACTACTTTATTAAATTCATGTATTATTTCTAAGTTTTTTTTGTGGAAGCCTAGGGTTTTCTACATATAAGATCATATTGTCACATGCAGATTATTATTCGGCCAAAGGTTGAAGGGCAGCTCCTATGTATATTTCTGGAATTCTTGTTCTGCCTAGCTCCCTCCCCTCCAGTACTCTGCCCTGTAAATCCCAGCCACTTCAACCTCCCCAAACTCCTCTCTGTCTCTTTGACTCTTAAGACCCCTGGGCTCTGTTTGGATTCTCCTTCCTACTCAGTGGTTTAGACATTGCTTCAAGCAGAAAGTTTACTTGTTTGTTTCTCTTCTCTCAGGGATTACCGTTCTGTGCTGTCTAGTAATGTCTTAAAATAATTATACCACATATTTTGTCCAGTTTTCTAGTTGTTTATGGTGGGAGAGTAATTTTGAACCCTGTTGCTCCTTCATGGTCAGTAGAAAAATCTCCTCTTAATCTTTTTTTTTTTCCTTAAAAGAATATTTGTTCATAGAGGATAAATATTGCTTACAAAAAGCAGAGTTAATCTTCATCAGAGGATGTGCTTCTGTGAGAGTTAATGGAGTTGCTGAAACTGGACAGAGACTTTTTTTTGAGCAAAATTTCTCAACAGGGGCTGGAGGAAGGCTCACCGGCTGCCACATCTCCAATGGAGATGGTATTCAGAGATTCCTAGCACCCTTGGTGCATCCTGGCCAGTGCTGTTTGGGGCACAGGATCCCTGGGGGACATGGAAGAAGGATGCTTCCACCATAGTTGTCGATCTGGGGCTTTCACAATTTTCCTGGGATGTCTGTCACTGTCTGTGAACTACCTATTTCTGCCTAGAAGATTCAGGCCCTCAGAGGCCACACAAATGCATAGGGACATCCAACAAAAGGATCTGCCTACCCCTGGATTCTCTCCTTATGCCCAAACATGAAGCTGACATTTTCTTCTCTGAAATCTGCCCAATGCCTTTCTTGTTCTCTCGACTTTGAGCATCTGTACTGCCCACAAAGATAGCCCCGCTTTTTCCTGGGCCTGGGCTCTGCATAGAAGCTGGCTTTACAGGCCATGCTCAGGAGATGGGTCTGCCCTTTGCCTTTTATGCAGGGTGAAAGCCAGTGAAGCAAACCTTAAATCACAATTCTAAATTAGCATTTTGAGGAGCCTTTCCCTGGTGTGGTGTGAACTGGAGTATTCCTTCATGTTCATTTCTGTTAATCCCCTGTACTGGGCAGGTAGCTGGTCTCTCTGGTACTGGAGGTCTATATCCTACTTCTCCTTAAAGTTCTGGTTTGGGGTCTCTTGGGACCTCACTCTTTTCATGTGTGGTGAAATTTAACTGTGGAGTGCTTCCTAGCTCACTGGCTTTAAGAAAAAAAGGATGTTTCTTAAATTTTTTTTTGCCATATTCCCTCCCCCATCCTTTTTTTCTTGCAATTTGTTGTTATTGTTGAAAAAACCCTATTGTGTTGGTAGTTTCTTTCGACGTGGATTTTTTGGGTCGAGTTCCTGTGGTGGCATTCAGCATGCTCTTTGGAACTTTTATTATTTTCTATAAATTGGCAGTCAGATCTAGAGGAGTGCTTCTCAACCAGGGTTGATTTTGCCTTCCAGGGATCATTTGGCAACATTTAGAGAGCTTCTTGTATTGTCAAAACTTGCAGGGGTGCTATGAGCATCTAATGGGTAAAGACCAGGGGTGCTGCTAAACATCTTACAATGCACAGGACAGCCCCTCATAAAAAATAACTATTCAGCCCCAAATTTTTGTAATGCCCAAGTTGAGAAAACCTGTTCTAGGGGCTTGATCAGATTCCAGAGGAATTTTTTGCAAGAATGTTTCATACATGCTGTTGAGAAATTCCCGTCGCATCATGTCAGATATCACATTATGTGACACGAACATTGATCAGCAGGTTTAGGTGCTATCAGCCTGGTCCATCAATATTAAAATTCCAGATCAGCTTTTTACCTCAGGTTTTAGCAGCCTTTATAAAGTTTATCTAAATCAATAACTTTATTTAGGGTTGAAAATTTGTGGTGATTCTCCTTCAGTATTTCTGCATTGCTGTAAATTCTTAAAGAATTTTCACTCATTATCAGTTTGGTTACTCAAAGGTAGAGGTAATATAAATGCTTAATTGTTTCTCTTAATTTACCAGCCTTTAGAAAAATGAATTGATGTCTGGCAATCTCCAAAAGTGAATAATAACCTATTTACTTGTGGGTTGCTTTCTTTTTGGTATCATAATGAAGTCCTGGGTTTATATGTATTTAATGGGTTTCAATTTATTGTAAGCATTATACTTTTTAAGCACCTTTATTTAGATAAAATTGGCATGCAATTAACTTCACATATGTGTATACCTAGGAAACCCTAACCACAAAAAAACAATGAATATATTCAATACCTTGAAAACTTTCTTTGTGCCCTTTGTAATCCCCTCTTTTCCTTACCTCTCTGCGACCTTGCAATCCCCAGGCAACCACTGATGCACTTTATGTATCATCTCGAGTCTTATATAAATAGAATCATACAGTATTCACTCTTTTTTGTCTGGCTTCTTTTACTCAGCATACTTCTTTTGAGATTCTTCCACGTTGTTCCACGTATCAATAGTTCATTCCTTTTTACAGTGCTGAGTACCAGGAGTAAGTTTAACTTTTATTTTTATCATTAAAATTTTTTTTATTTTTAAAAAGAGTTTTGAATTTAAAAAAAGGGAGTTCAGAGAATTTCCACATAGCCCATTCCCAGTTTCTCCCATTCACTGATTAAATAAATAGAATTTGTAGTTAAAAACCTTCCTACACAAGAATGCTCACTTTTTCCATTTCTGTTTAACATTGTGCTGGAACTTCTAATCAGAGCAATTAGGCAAGGAGACAAAATAAGAGGCATCCAACTTGGAAAAGAAGTAAAACTATCTCTATTCATAGGTGAAGATGAGGATTTACATACAGAAAATCCTCAAGAACGCACACACACACAAAAACTATAAGAGCTAATAAATGATTTTGACAAATTTTTAGGATTTAAGATCAACACACAAAAATCAGTCCTATTCCATACGCTAGCAACAAAAAAATCAAAAAATGCAATTAAGGAAACAATTTTGTTTAAAATAGCATCAAAAAATACTTATGAATAAACTTAACAAAAGAAGTCTAAGACCTGTATACTGAAAACTACAAAACATTGCTGAAAGAAATTAAAGAAGACCTACATAAATAAAAAGACATTCAGTGGTTATAGATTAAAGTGGTCAAAATTAAAAATTTAATATTATTAAGATGCCAGTGCAGTCCAAAGTGGTCTACAGATTCAATGCAACCTCTATCAAAATCTCAATGATCATTTTTGCAGAAATGGAAAGGTTTATTCTAAAATTCATATAGAATCTCAAGGAACCATGAATAGCCAAAATAATCTTGAAAAAGAAAAAACAAAATTGAAGGACTTACATTTCTCAATTTCAAAACTTACTACAAAGCTACAGTAATCAAGAGTGTGGTATTGACATAATGATAGACATAGATCGACTGAATAGTATTGAGAATCCAGGAATAAATCCGTATACCTACGGTTAGGTGATTTTTGAAAAGGGTGCTAAGGCCATTCAAT